TCTAAAGTTCGCCATTCACTCAAGAAGTCCCCCTTGAAGCTGTTGAGGCACTTCTTACCCAGCTTACACGAAAGTTGCCATTTGGCATAATGCACATGCTGACAGTTTGGTTCCTCCTCTGTTTCTATAGTGGAGTCGGGATGCTAGTCTCTCCCTTTCTACATGTACATGTATGTCCAACTTTGACACAGTCGGGCCCACTCCCAGCAGGCAGTGTGCGGCTTACATGTAAACACAACACACGAGCTCGCTCCCTAAAGCACAATATTGATGGTACACAACCAAGACTGCAGACCAGAATACTCTGAGAACTCTTAAGTCACTACTCCGTGTCACCATGGAGGACGCTGATCGGGAAATATTTGCACCTTTTATTGAAACTCGGAATGGTTTTGGCCATTTTTTTTCTTGGTAAAATGTACGAAGATACATGTTTATGTAAGTTACCATACACAGAACTCTTGGGGGAAATGGAGCAGCATCGCTATGGGTACACAACAAGAATAAAATCCCTATTTGTGCCCTGTTAAACGTCACATAGATGATAGGCAAATGTCCCCATGTTGGATCCCTAATTTATAGAATCAGCCATATATGGGACTCTTTCTTTCGAAATCACCATGTAACGTTACTCCCAGAACTGTAAGGTTTATACAAACAGTTCAGGAAGAAATGTGATGTGTTAATAAAACACTCACTGCAGTGCTACAATTGGGACTGCCCCAACAATAGTTGGGACTTATGCTATAGTTGGGGCGTAATGCATGACTAGTATGTCAAGCCTCGAGTTGAAGTTAAGCAATTTTTAACTAGGCCTATTGCCTAACGTTAAGCAGCGTTTTAGACACTTCTTTAGAGTTCCACTGTGCAATGCAAACGTATCCTAACCAAGCATACACTTTAAAGAACTAATTACCTTTAAGAAACAGTGTAGTTCGCTGCTCGTTTTCCACCACGAAATGGAAATCCCAGCTGTTTCTCGAGCAGATAAGCCGCAACCCTCAATGACCTCACACGTGATGATGAGTTTGATGACCCCCTCACGAGTCGAGTGCTCATAATATGTGCTTCATAATTTCAGGCAAAATTCTAACTGTTGAGGGCGCTACATACAACGCAAAAATATGGGGGAAATATTCATGTCTATGGAAAAATCCCAAAAATAACATATTTCCAAGAGCCTTAGAAGTTGTGCTCATCGTACGGTGAACTGACCAACAAACCTTGTTATACCCAAAACGCTGCCATGGGATTGGTCAATCACCAACAAAAACTGTACGGCTTGGGCTCCGCATAAATTCCTGTTTGTAACGGCATTTCGTTATAAAAGTGCTCTTTTTATATACAGTCTGTCTTATTCAATTCTTCGGATTTGTTAGTTCAACTTAAACAATATTTCATGGTGACTGGTTTAAAAATCAAAAGCGATAGACACTGACAAATATGTTTCCAATGAAAAATTTATTTCTCTCCACATTGACTCTTACAGATTTTCAACTGTCATCCAACCTAAAAATATTTACAGTGACTTACAACAAATTCCTTTGAACTATGATTTATCTCCAAATGTCTGAGTTTAAATAATCATTTAACAGGTGCGTCACGAGTAGCAATTATGGAAGGGGTATTTTTCACACCCCATGACCACTACAGGGAAAAATAGTCTCTGATAACTGTGAAGTGTTATAATCTTTTGCACTAAATGATGGCACCTAGGGCAAGTTCGACCAAGGACCACTAGTTAACTAGTTGTTGGTTTGTGATGTACCATAGCACATGTGCAGTGAAGATGAAGTGCTAATGACCCTAATCAATCATTGTCAGGTTATCAGGCCGAAGGGTAGAGAACTTGAGGTGGCCGCAGGAAGGGCAAAATGAAAAATTGAAAGTGAAAATGGTGATTTACTAGTGACATACTGTTTTTGGGGGGGCAGTTTTCTTATTTAACTGCTCCTGTCTGCATTGTGCTATTATGAACGGTTCATAACAACCAACGACGGGACCAACCTCGATAGGCTGATCGCGAATAGTTTGATCATTAATGAGGTTGGAGCACAATAACTTTTACCACCTGTCATGACCCGTAGGTCATTTACTCTGTCAAAATAACACACACCTTTGTATTCAGCCTTGCAAGATGTATAACAATGTCAGTTTTGAATCCACAAGCAGGGAAATAGCTGTTCATTTTTATGTTATGTAACAATTGACACCATCACAACTTGTGCCCCAACCTCATGGAATGACTCTGTTGACTAGACTCATCCAGCCATCGTCAACTAGCGAGTGCTTGATTAGAGTTAATCCAACTACGGTTAACTTTGGTCTTTGATGGAACTTGCCCCCAGTGTCACCCCAACACCCTTCCCTAATTCTCACCACACGTCTGGCATTGTAACTTCAAACTCAAAGTGACAACTTTGGTCACTTTTCCATAGAAGAGACTTTCCAGTCATCACAGGGGAGTGTTGTACTGTCATACAACGAATGGCAGGCAATTGTACCGACCACTCCAAACAAGCACCAAATATTAACGCCGTGCCCAAATCACTTGGCTTCGGCTCGAAGTTACACACGACTCTATGGGAACAGACTTCAGCCACTGCCACCGACTCGTGCGTAATTTCAAACTACAGCCAAGTAATTTGGACACAGCCGATAGTTGAAATTGGTCCCTGGGTAGCAACTTTGAAGCCGATTTGGCTGGAGAGTGGAGCAACATTTCTCCAGGTGACAAAATTGAGAGAACATGTATCAGCTCGCACCACTTTCACAGACGTCTAGGCTTGCAAATTTACTAAGTACAGAAACTATTTGCTTAGCAAAAATAGGTCACCAGTCAAAAGAGCATAGTTTGCATAATGCTGGTGACTAGTGTTCCGCTGGTATTGGCTTAGCGAAAACATATGCTAAGCAAGAAGCTGGTCCTGAATGAGAAGAAACAAGACTCTCAACACTGCATCCAGAAAGATACCGAGGCAAATTTTTTGGGAATAGTAGGGTGACTGAACGATGAACAAAGGTCGGCTTAAAACTCCATGAGCTGTCGCCATGGCAACAGCCTGTTTGTCACAAAAAGGGCAGTGATGCAAAGGAAACTGGAAACCTGGCAAGGAACTCCCAATGTTTAACTGTTGTCTGAGTCTGACTAACAAATGCTAAGGTCATGGGAAACTTTCTGAGTAGACAGTCCAGCCAATGTCTTTGCCAACACAGGAAAAGATCGCAGTTGATACAATGATAGCTTTCAGTGCCTGAAAATGAAAAGAACAAACAAAACAATTGTTTACTTAGCTTCTAAAACTGATACAAATGAGAAAAATAATGGGGCCATTTTGGTTTTTTTCTTACAGTGAGCACTTCTCAAGTATGGCCAAAGACATACTAACCAGGTTTGAGCCATCTTGCATTTTGCAACACTGTTTTCAACATGTATGGAAGACGTTAATTATGGTTAAGCAAAAAAATGGGCAGGGGTGTTAAAAATCATAAGGTTATACAGTGATTGTAAATTTACACTGTTTAAATATCAGAACGACTAAAATGCTGCCAAAAAAAAAAAAAAAAAGAGGAAAAACAAGGACATTTTGAGACCTACTTTTTGGTGGAGCCGAACCCTGAGAAGCCCATCATGGCGGCCATATCGGGGTCAAGGCCCGAGTCCAGGTCGTCATCCTCTGCTTTCCGCTTTCTCTCCTGTCGCTTCTCTTTCCGGTAAGCCTTCTGTTTGGCTTCCTTTTTGGAGAACCAAACAGAATAACAACAATTAACCCCTCTTATTTCACACTAATACAATGTATGTGAAATTGTACATAGTCTCCAAATAAACACGAGTTTCCCACTTGCAACCCAATACTGCGCTGGTTCAGTGTGCACAAGGCAGTTTTGAGATCAAGTCCATCACAAGTCCTTCCACCAGAACGGTCAGAATGTAACAGAGCGAAATATCACACAGGAAAGTCATTGTCAGAGTTTACTTCAAAGGCTTGCAACTTGGCTCAAGACTGGACGACGTACGATGGATTTGATAACAAACACTGCCACGCAGTAACCTACTAACTCGGCAGCTCAGATTGACTTGTGTTGACAGCCACCCGTATCGAGTGACACAGCACAGTGTAATGGTCAGCATGCAAAAAACCAAAAACAGCACAGTCATATCATAGCAATGAAGTACAGTTGCCACACTGCCCTTGTTGCACGCTCACACCTCACTCGGGTGCAGCTACCTGTTGCACAAAACAAGACACAGCTGAAAATATGCGGTGGGTCAAGGCAAATTTTTTTAAAATGGACAATGCGCTCGGCCTACTTGCGCCCTGTATCTCATTCAGCTGCCAAACGGCAAATAAACAAGAAGCTCTTGGCAAGCGTACCTCTTCTCGAAGCTCCTGCATTCTGGATTCAAAGTCATAGTCTTTCTTCTTCTCTTCCTTCTTTCTCTTGTTCAGCTCAAAGCGTCGTTTGACCTGGTCCAGCGTCGACCGTTCCACTTTCATGGACATACCAAGGTTTCTTTGATCTGATCATTCAGGAGAGATTTGGAAATAAAAAAACTAGTATGTGCAAACTTAAATGTTTTACATCAGTTTCGCTACTACTTCAGGAATTTAAATTGAAGTCAATGCCTCATTTTTGTTCGGTCTAAAAAGGATATGCCGTTGAATCTACCCCAGCCATCCAATGCAAAATGTTTGCATTGGATGTGTTGCACAGCAAATTTGAAAAGAGAAATAAGCCAAGAGTGACACTACAGATACAAATCAATTTGAGCAATTCACAGTCGAAGCTGGAGGCACAAATTTTAATTTTACAGAGCATCATGGGGAAATACTGCCGTCCAATTGTAGACACTGCTGAAACAGAATTCATTTGCTGGGATTGAAATGTCCAACCGACCGGAATGTCAGAATCATCACATCTGGTCCCCTAACTCTAACTTTGGGAAATTTCAGGCCAGTCCAGTCGATTCACAGCAGATTTCTCATTGGAGAAAAAAACTGCATTTTTTTTCATTTTCTCTTTGAACAACCAGAACCACGACAGAGGTCGAGATTTTTTCTGTAGTAAGGAAGACAAAGAACACATAGTAGGATAACATTCTGGACAGGTGGCGCTTATTAACAAAAAAAGTTACAATTTCAAGGCAATGTTTGTTGGCACACTGTCAAGTGAACTGCTCCGACCTTAATCCTAGCCCTCTGTCATCCTTCAAATCCATCAGGAGGTTGTGGAGACCTCTGCAGGGTTTAAGGAATGTGTAGACCTCAGTTGCTATAGAGCATGAAGCCTGATATCCCTTTGAAAGTTGGAGTACAAAGAGCACATGCCACAGACCTTATTCCTCAGTATACCTGAGTATACGTGCCATTTTGATCTTATGCCCTGTATCTGCGCTCTGACTTGACAACTGTTGAATGGGAAGGTATCAGACTATTTTAGGATTTTCTTAGGCTTCAAGCCTCGCTCTCTTCTTTAAAATAGTATTTCATAAAATGCTAAGCTACCTTTTACCACTAATTTCAATTTATTCATTAGAGTAGATTATAGGTAAAAATTTGTCAAGAAATTTAGTTTTATTCCTTCACTGATGCCCTAAAGTTAAAAAAAAAAGAAGAGGTAACTTTGACTCCAATTTCAATATGGCCAACTCATTGATTCCCTGCAAGATGGAAGATTTGTCAGGGAGGCTCCTTCGTAAAAAATGCTGACAAGATGGAGTCTGGTTTAAGAGATTGCAAGACTAAGCCAAGCTGTAGACTGCCTTACGTTTCTTGCCGTTGATGTGGTCTAGGAAGTTGATGGAGTCTTTGACCACGCAGTCACACACGTTGCAGTAGTAGCCGCCCATCTGGGAGGAGGGCGTGGTCTTGGTGATGACCTGGGACTTTCCCAGGCGGGACTCCAGGTCCACCTTGTAGTCACGCTGTTTGAGCAGCTCCCGTTTGACGGGGGGCTGTCGGCTCTTTTTGTCTGTTGCTGCAAAAACCAGAGTTCAAGAGCAAGACAACGTGAATATTGGTAACATTTGTTAGGTATTAACCCTAAACCTCCAGGGTATTTTGACAGGGCTGTGTCAATAACTCAAATATTTGTAAATTCGATTGAATATCGAATAACGGAATATTCATTTTTGAAATCTGATATACATTTACAGAGGTGAAAATCAATTAAACCAAAAAAAGGGAAAAGTTTATTAAATGATTTTTCCTTCAATTTTTTCTTTTTCTGAAACTATATTTTATGTTTTGGCTTTTGTGGTAATTTTGTATGACAAAATATTCAAATATTCAATTCAACGGATGGTGGCATGTTTGAATATTTAATTATCTGAACTAACTCAGCCTTTATACATGTACATGAGACTCTGCTAGATGCATAAGTTTGCATTGTTTGTCCAAATTGTTTGCCTGCAGAGTTTAACGACAAGATCAAACAGATCAACTATTCCCACAGGCATCTGCCCTCAGAGTCCCAGTCTGCTAGCTACCCTTGGATTAATTTAACAGCACAACAATTTAATGGGTCTAGCTCCTGTCTCAACGGGGCAGTTTATTCTGCCGCTGTCGACTCGCCAGGCTCCAACAGACACTTAACGTCTTCTCACATTTCTGCATCTGGCAGGGTTTAGGTTAATCCCAGTTTCAGGACTGGTTTCAGACCTTCTGCAGTCTGCAGCAAGTTCAAATTCCGAATGTTCTGGACGCTATTTCATTTATAATATGGGCTTTTCTTTTGCCGAGTCCCAGGAGACAATTCCACAGAACTGGAATGACAAATGGCACTGTGGTTGAATGCTTTTACAAGTATGACAGAAAAAAAGACACCAATGTTCTTCTTACAACATCAATTTTAAGTTGCATTTTAAATTTTGCAGAAATACTTTCGCTTTGCTAATTTTGAATGTTACTGAGGTTGGTAACATTAAATAAATTAAAAAGGGTCATTTGTTGGACTGAAGAAGACAAGCCACTGGTCCAATATCTACAGTGCTTCAGATGGGACTTGATGGCTCTCTATAGAAAGAAAATGCAAGGAACATGTGTACCAGTGTGTTCGTACACAGAGGCAGGAGGCTTTAGGAAGGTTTCTGGTAGATCAGCCTTCCTGTGAGTTCTGGTTAAGGTGAGTTACCTGAGTCACTCTCATCTTCTTCTGCTTGTAGCCGTTCCTTGGCCAATTTTTCAAATTCATCTCTGTCCCACTTGCGTCTGTGGTCCTCGGGCCTCTGAGGGCAGAATATTACGTCGCGATTAGAATCTTCTACAGAGACATCACATGCTGCATCTCGATTATGGACAGAGCCCCGTATCCAGCCACCATCTTTAGACCTCATGCACAATGACGATGGGCCATGATAGAAACAGTGCACGTACTTCAACAGAACACCTGCAACTAGCGTTTCTTCATCAGATTTACACTTTTTGGTAGTTGTCAAGTCATGAGTGATGGTCGCATAAGGCTTCACTGAGGTTGGAATAAGCCATTTGCGAGTTAAATTTGAATAAAATCTGGTGCACTGAGTTCTTTAAATTTATGTGAACATAAACAACTAGAATTCTCCATACTAAAACCACTGTTGCTATATCTCGTGATTCGGGTCAAGCTTTTGGTTAGTTACATCAGAGACGCCTTGCAACAATACACTGTTTCAATGGATAAGAACAGCACAAAGGAACCAGTCCATTCTACAGACGGTGGTCGCTATGCAAAAGCTTCCCTGAATCACGAGGTATAGCAATAGTGTCTTTAGTCTGGGGAATTCAAATTATGACGTTTTTATGCAATCAAATAACACAGTGTACCAGATTTTATTCAAATTTAACTCGCAAGTGGCTTATTGACACACATCTGCATCTGTGGGTGTGTTTGTTTCACATCTCGATCAGAGATCCCAACACTGGTTGGCGCCATCCATTAAGCGAGTTCTGGAGCCAGTGAACCTATGAGATAGGGTTGAAGCTGCTATACCTGGGCCTTCATACATGTACATGTAGATGTCACAAGGTAGATCTGGACGACAAACATCATGTGAGATTTTTAAGGGCACTGGACCAAATCACAGACAGACAAAAGAATACATGTAGCTTGCAATTTAATGAAAGATTCAACTTCAAACAATAGAGGATAATGTTGCAATTTTTTGGGGGTGGGGGTAAAAAAATCCTCAAAGTGGCCACAGGCCAGATCCTGTGCCCTTGTGCCTTGAGGGGGGGTGCGGTGCCTGTGCTAAGTGCCTTAATTAACCACTTGGTAATGATGGATTCAGGGCCTGCTTGTTTCACACCAATCTGGATCGTGATCAGTGATCCGATGTTGGTTCACTGACATGCCAGCCTGTCAAATCCGATAGAGCAAACCAGCTTTAGGATCACTGATCATGATGTTGATCTTTGTGAATCCAACAGGGCTAAGTTACGTGGCTTTGGTTCAGTGCTGGCTTTTAAGCAAGGTAGGGCCATAAACATGAAACAGAAATGAAGCATCCTGGAATACCACATAGCCTGTAGGAATCGATTTGAAACAATAAAAGGTTAATCTTGATATTTTGTGGGAGTAGAAACTCCAAAATGCCCACAAGGTGAATTTAGTAATTAGGCCTTAGCGGTTTAGTGCAACCAGATTCCTTTGCTAAAAAATCCACTTTATTAAACATAAGTTGAGTGTCATTGACTGGATGATGCATCATGACCAAAAATATAGGTAAAATTGTAGAATCTTTACATTCGCCCTTTCACTCTGCGCAACTGGTTGATCCTGCATGAAATTTCTAAGGCCGTGTGGAATTTCCAAATAACCAAATATTCAATCGATCATCCAATATTTGAATATTTTTTTCGAATTTGAATACTTGAATGCAAAATTAATGATAAGGAAGGGAGAATTTTCTTTCGTTTTAAAAGACAAAAATTGCACATTGGAGGCTTGTTCTGTGTAAATTTAAATGAAAAGCAACAAAAAACTCACAACAATTTGAAAAGTACATTATTCATTAAAAAATTGAAAAGGAATGTACATTTTCAACAGGAAAAGAATTATTGTTTGTCTCTTAAATCTTGCTAAATCGTGGCTGGAGATACTCGTAGATACGAAAAGCTATTACAGTGATTTTAATGTACAATTATGTCTGTTATTGCAACTGATTTTGTATATGATTTGTTCCTCAACAATCTGCTCGTTGGTACAACCGAATATTTGGATATTCGACCGAAATGAAGGTTGAATATTCAAATAGGCCCAGTGAATTATTTGAATTGACTCAGCCCTATAAATTTCCAACTGTACTTAAAGCTAGCTTTTTGCAACAATTTTCCAAAAGTGTGAATTAGAAAGGACAGGTGATTGATTGATTGATTGATTGATTGATTGATTGATTGATGGTGATGGTTGATGATCATCCACAAATCATGCAAAAGAGATTGACAGATTGCGTAAAGGTGCAGCAATTACCCATGTTAACATGACTGCACGTTAACAGCCCTATCTGGGGCGATTTGCGCACTGATCAAGATCAGTATACTGATCAAGATTACCCAGATCGACTGATTGTGCCCAATATACACATTTCATTTTCAAAAAGGGGGTGAAAAATGCAAATAATCCTAGACAAGTTAGAGGTTTCCCAAAATAAGGATGGCTGTGGGGCGAGTTAGCCTTTAATCATGAAAATACTGCAGGATAAGATGTGTACAGTCGCCCCTGACTTGCAAGCACTTCATCTCAAGTCACTCAACTTCAACTTCACTTCTTCAACAAGGATCAAAATTACGGGTCACAAGGGGTGAAAACCTTCAAGAGCGGCAACCTTGGCCTGATATACTTACACTTGTTGAACTTGACTGATTGGAAGCCATTTCGATCTTAAAACGTACTCAGAACATTCAAAGAATACCCACAGTTCATAGAATCAACTTCACTCTCCGAGCCGCTGCCGCGTTGTGTATGTTTTGATGATGAACACTTACCCATTTGAGGACAGTGGGACCGATTTCGAATGTCCATACGCGAACTGTCTTCAAATACAATGTACGTCAAAAAGATTTTGTTCTCTAACCTGAACTGACGCTGATACGTACGAACTGGGAGAAGCCCGATTGTACATTTACATGCTTATCCGTGTGTTGCATTACGTACTGCATTCGTCATAATTATGTGACAATTTTAGGAGGGACTATTTCCTAACAGTGAACAAAATACATACCAAAACTGCCCAAAAGAGTTTTCCAAATGCTGCTCCTAATCTTTCCATTTTATTTCATTCATTCTTAAGACCATAAAAACAGTGAAGTGACAACACAAGAACTCATAAATTCAACATAAATGACTTCAACCACTCTCAAAAAGTATAAAAAGATAACACTTTTTACGCTCTTTTTAAACCCTTGACAAGCCAAGTAGGCCAAGATGTGCAAGTTTTTGTCCTTGCCAAGGCGCCAGAAGCCGGACTTACTCCCAAACATAAGAAGTTGACCGTCATTGGTAATTTACATTAGGTTCCATTCGGCCACAAACGCTTGTGAAAGTTTACCTAATTTTCTTGGACAACCAATGTTCGACAAAATTGAGGTAGGTGCCTGTAACTTCCTTTAAACCGTGCAGCAGACGGTTAGGAGACAGTTTGCCTAACTCTCCATTGCGCCAGCCAACCGTCAGGAATATTTGATTAACCAGTTTACGGTTGAAGGCTATTTGCCTAACTTTGCCTGAACTTAACGGTCAGGACACATTTGCCTAACTTTGCACTGAACTTAACGGTCAGGACACATTTGCCTAACTTTGCACTGAGCTTGACGGTCAGGACACGACGGTCAGGACACATTTGCCTAACTTTACACTGAACTTGACGGTCGGATACATTCGCCTAACTTTGCACTGAACTATCAGTCAGACAGCAGCCTTTTTTTTAACCCTGAAATTCATAGTAAACATCTCCCTAAATTTCCACCAAGCCAGCCTGTACTGGCTATAAAAACTGTCAGGCTTTCTTTTGACCAACTAACAACAAAGAACAAAGCTGAGTGAATTATCAGACTTCTGGTATAAGTTTTATGTAGCGGTTGTGACAATGTTGCCAGTGTTTGTTTCTGACCGTCTTGCCCCAGACAATACCTTAGCAGGAAATTCGCTAAAAATTAACATTATACATGTGTAGACCAATCACTGCACATTTCATTTTTCATTAAGTGTTGAGTATTTGCCATGTTGCTGATGGCAGAGTCCCAGGACAATTTTGACAAATTGTTCCGAACAATCAAATCAACTAGTGGAAAGTTAGGCAAATATTTCCTGACCCTTAATTTCTTGGTGGACAGTTAGGAAACTTTTTTCATGACCGTTAACACCAATGGATAGTTAGGCAAATCATTTCGTGACCGTTAATGCTGAGTTAGACAAACTGTATGGTGATCGTAAGTTCCCAATGCTTTCGTGACGTTTAGTTCCCGTATGGACAGATAGACAAAGTGTTTCGTGACCGTAACAAACTATAGTTTCGTGGGAAGGTAAGCAAAGGTTTTTATAATATTAAATTTGCCGGCAAAGATGTGTACGTGCTTGAAACTCCGCAGAAAAAAAGTGAAAAGAAGATAGGCTTATATATATATACTTCCGGTAATTCTTTCAACCGGCCTACTCTGCTGCTGCTATTGAAAATGTGCGTGGTCATCAAATACACAATCAGCAATATTTCATTATTTGAACTTTATTTTGTAACACATACCTTCCCCAAATTTGACTCTTTATTTCTTCAGCTGTAAAGGAAAGACTAACTGAAGTTCTGAAATGTGATGGTGATTTCCGGGGCAATCCTCGCCGCTGTCGGGCCCTACTTCTAGGCTGTATTATTCAACTACTAAAATTAGTAAGCATTATGCCTACACATTTTCTTGTTAATTCCTCCCCGGAATGACTTCTCAATTCAGAAAAAGGAGAGTTCCATATACGGACAACACTGAAAGTGAAATTTAGCAAAGAAAATTCTGAAGCATTTACCAAAACACTTCAATTTCTTTTTCAGACAAGTCTCATAGGGTTTGTGCACAGAGACATCAGGCGTTGTAGTTGTCCGTGTATAAACTCTTTCCCAGAAAACAAGACTTCCCAACATGGCAAGATTAATTTTGGATTCATGCACACCCTGTAACCACGTTGAAAAATTTAAGTGATGCAAAAAAGGTAGGGGTCTCCTTAACATTCTACGAATATTGATCAGTGAGGAATTAAGCAATTGAGTTAAACAAAGTAAAAGTGTCATAAAAGGAAAGGATCTTTGCCGTATGTTCAGTGTGACAGATGCATGTTTACATATTGTGCTAAAATGGCAGCATAGGTGAATTCAGGGCATCAACAAGGGCCATGCCCCCTCCCCCTGCAAAATATTTCACTTTTGAAAAATTGTGAGGAAAAAGGCAGTTTGGGGGACTATTTTACATGCCTTTTCCCTTGAACATGTCAAAAGTGCCAAAATTTAAATTCATCCCTCGGATATGCCTTGTAAAAGTTATATCATGGAATTTCCAAATTTTGCGGAAAAAAAATAATATTGGAACTTTAAAGAAGATTGGTTCTGGGAAGGGCTGTAAGGGCACCGGAAAACAATTTGTGTACTTAAATACCATTGCCCATTTGGTACCTGTAAAGTCAAATTCCAACGTGGATGATTTATTATATGGGTTTCCATCAAAATATTTATATCACAACCAATTTTCCCCTCATGAAGCTCTTAACCTGAACATTGCTTCAACGTCTTTTCTCCTCCTTTCCCATCACTGGTTTCTAGGGAGAATGGTTCATCGTTGATCATGGCGAGGAGTGAGCATTTTGTGCAATGGCAAAGTTGTGATGTATGGAACAGTGAATTCAGACCCGTAGAAGACTGCATTGTGAACCTAGAGCATATTCAGCAGTAGCAGGCCTTGTCAAACAGAGGAGATATGTAGCAAAAACAGAACGTTTTACCGCATGACACTGATCACGAGGGAATCGAAGCAACATACTGTTCCAAAATTAATGGCTGATTGTTGACCTGAGCGAAATGGCAGCGTGAGGGCAGGCATAAATACACTGTACCACATGTGCAAGCTTCAGGCTACCTAGACATGGAGATGAGAGGCCCCTAAAACCTGCATTATCACACCGGGTACTTGTCTCACAAGAGATTTAGTAGCAGCTGGAAATCTTTATTATACACTCTGAAATCCATGGGCAGAATCCATGCATTAGAGTGTTGTAGTCAAGACCATTTGCAAGATCAGACACAAGAGCACGCACAAGACCAGCACAAAGGAACGCTTTTGTTTGGTTTGTCAGAATAGCCTGTGACCTGCATCCAGACGAGAGGTCATGTGTTAACAGTGTTGGTCTTACAGGGTCTTAAAGACAGTCTCAAGAGGTCTCGACTACAACGCTGAATAAACAAGGACACAAGTTGTCAAATATGTGAACTAACTGCAGTTGAACCTCGTTAATAAGAGGTCCTATGGACTTTGCAGATTACCTCGTTATAACAGGAACCTCATATTTTGAGGAATGAAAACCATTAAGAACAAAGGATTGGGACTAAAACTCTCCTTGTTATAAGTAGAATACAGGGCATGGTATTACAAGGTTCAACTGTACATAATAAAGCTTTTTCCTTAAATAAAAGACATAATCCAGAACAAGGGCTGCTAACATTGGTGAGAGTTGAGAATGAGAATCATCAAAGGGGCGGTGCTTGTGAATAGGGAGTGTTTGGGGGAGAGAGATATAAGGAGATTACAGCATGTACAGTATGATATTAGGGTAACTCCAGAAATTAGGGGTCCATTTTTTTTGTGTGTCCCTGTCACATCTGACATATGATTTTGTAAGTTCAGAATACATTTTCTCATTTCAAAGAGTGATGAATTAATGCAAAGTACCTGCCAAACAAATAGTAACAGTTTGAAAACAATTCCAGTGATGTTTCCATGTCAAATAACAAAGGTCTGATGTAACAGGGTCCCAAAAATGTCACACTTTTGGACCCCTTATTTCTGGAATTACCTATCACTACCACTGCAACAGCCACTGATTTAAATAATTTTTTTCAAGAAATGCTTTCATTGATGAAGGATAGGAAAATATTTCACCAAGATAAACGCTTTCATTTTTGCTTACATATTAAGGACACCACAGTATTTAAAAATAAAACTGTTACTGTGACAAACCCTATACGGGTGTGGGACCACAAGAAATAAACCTGAAATGTGTGAGTTTTACCCCCAACGCATCACGGATAGAAACCTTGGAATCTGCCTCGGGCTTTGCAAACAAATTTTGGAAGAAATCAGAGCATTTCAATAAAACATAAAAGAATTCATAGACTATTTGGACATCCACAAATAACTGTCAATTGGGCATTACACGCCATGTACAATAACAGTATAGCAATTGGAATCCCAAGTCCAAAGATTGAAACTTATTTAAACTTTTTTCTCATTGCAGACTAACTTCTGTGATTGCTGATGTAACTTAAATTAGAAGTTGAATTTGAGTTCATAATATCAGCATGGACATACTGGTATGACATTCAGATACAATGATACCGAAATTAAGTCACCCTCCTAAGATTTGAAAAGTTACATCCCTTCACCAACTCCATGCATTTGTGCAGAATGCTTGAGAGGTTATACAATGTATTATTATGGCACAAGTGCAGAATGCGGCTGGAGGTGAAGTTTAAATAAAAATGTGCAGGGTGGAAGTTGCTTGTCCAGGTATGATGCCAGAAGTCAATTTCTCCACCTTCTCTCTCGATGAACTGAGGAAAAGAGATGCTGGAATGGATTTGGTCTCAGGAGAAAAATCCCATTCACAGAAACTCAAAGAGAACAGTTCATAGGCTTTTTGTGCAAAGATTCAGCCAATTATATAATGCTACTTGTTACCCTGGTCTACTCTAATAAGGAAGCTAAGCACACATTCTAAATTGCTCACAAAAATAACATGCTATCTCAGCATTATGGCACTGCTGTTCAGTTTTCCTGGCCAACATAGGTGGTTTCCTTGCCAGTTTTCTTGAGGGTCTCCAGCAGTTCGTCGGAGGACAGCGCTGACTCAATAACCACTTTCTTCTGGGCAAGGTCAACGTCAAATTTGGCCACTTTATCTATTGGGGGGGAGGGAGGAATAATGACATGTTCAGGCTGATCCAAAGCCGAGTTTCCATATGGTTTTAACAGTTGCTGATGATGCACAAGATGTCATGTGGCAGACAGTGGGGAAAGAGATGGTGTGCAACATTCAACAGAGCAATTGCAACAAAATGGCCGCTGAAACTCTGAAAATGTTTGCATGAAATGCCTTTCAATAGGTGGTCCTATCGTTTCTTGAGCCTAAACTAGTACTTCCACTTCCAAGTTACAAAAACAAGCCGACCACATCCTGAGAAATCAAACTTTAAAGTTCTGAGTAAAAATCTTCGATACACAAAATTAACTGCCTCAAAGATTAGAATTAAAGTTGTAAGTAGTAACTGCATCAAATATTTGTTTCAAAAATGATTTAGACATTAATAATTAAAATGGTACCAAATCTCAAATTGCCCCCCCCCCCAAAAAAATGGGAGACTATTCTGCTATCACCTCTAACACACGTTTGGCAACATCGAGTGGATCTTTCAAGATCACATCACATTTTGACCTTTTAAAATGACCAGCACAATTTATGCGCAACACTTTTAGGTTACTGAATGGTTGTGTAGCAGGGACAGGAGTACCTTTTGTCATCTATGTTTATTTCCATTCACAGTTAACAAAGATAAATGTCAAAACTTTCAATAATGATCCATCTTGATTACCTCCAAGTTTGTTCAGGACCCTTGTCACAGCACCAGAACATCCCTCGCACGTCATCTCCACGTTAAACACATGCTTCTGTTGAGGGGAAAATAACAATTTACACAAACTTAATTGTGGGTTGGGTAATATCAAATGTGGATTAGAAGTCAACTGATTAAATTGTCTTGGTTTTGCAGCACTGCTTAATATCAAACCGGCACTGAAACCTTGGTGCATGAATATATACAGGTTTATGGCTGCTGCTCAGTGGGGTAACTCCAAGGGGGGGGGGCACGACCACAGTGCAAGTCAGTGCCTCCCCACCCAATTTCCCTGGTAGTCTGCTATTGTATGTCCCAACCAGTGTTACAGTCAACACCATCACAAGAACAGACCCAAGACCAGTCTTAAGTAACAGGCAGAGCAATGACAAAGGAATTCTCATTTGTAAGCTCATTTGAATAACTTGGTACTTGAATTCAGAAGGGAGGTCTGGCGTTGTTCTGATTATGGTCTTGAGGTTTTTTGCAATGGTTTTATTATCCTATCTGAACTGCACATACAACGCTGGTCACAACTCAGCCCACTGCCCTATTGGTGCCTCGAGTGATTGCAATTGAGCTGATGCATTATCAATTACACAGTTTGGCAAAAAAAGGAATATATTAAAATTGGAAAAATGTAACAGGTGGTGACATGCAGTTAACAATGCAGTTATGCTTGCGTGCAGGTAATTTCTTGGGAACTTGTTCATGAAGCTTGAGGGGTGGCATTTATTGCACAGTACGGCAATTGCTGCAAATCAATCAGATCATTTGTGAAACTTTTGGTTTCTGCTTAACTGTGCAGTCCAACCCTACGCTAACTGGTAGGCCTGTCTGGCCAGGTGTAGTTGAGGCAGTGGTCACATTCTCACATTGAGATGTTCGCTGGTAAAATGAATTATGCTGTGGGCTCTTTGTGTGAGGACTATGTCAATCTGTGAGACTGCCAACTTAAGCATTGGCACTTCTGCAGTCACAGCCGACATTCAATACTATTTATCAAAAAAGAACCTATTCACTTTCCTTCTGATTTTCCCCCCATGGCTACACTATGGCACTTCTGTAGCATTAGAAACAGGAACCAGACCTGTCTGTAGTGTACCGTAATGAATTGATTTTGAGTTTTATTTCCTTTTAAAAAATCCTCCTGGGGTTTGAATGTACCAAAAAAGAGAATAAAAACATCTATAGAAATTAAAATTATTGGATTTGATTGAAAAATGAGGGAAAAAAGGACGGGGAAAAAAATTACCCTGCGAACATGTGCTTATACTTTAAAGAGCACTGTACATGTACAGTGCACTGCTGCAGTAGCTCAGTGGGCATAGAATCCAAAATGTAATGGCAATGCTTACTGTACAATGTCTTTAGAATTTGGAGGTTGTGTTAGCTGCTACATTTTTTCTTTGACAAGTGAACTGAAAGTGTGAAGGTTTGCTGCAACCTACCATAGTAGTACAGGTCTCTTCTTGACTTTACAGAAAATTAATGGCATTGTTGGTTGTGATGAGTCAATTACATGTATGTGCAATTGCTCGTTCTTAATTAGTGCATGATTGTTGAGAATTCTGCCATCAGCCTAATCGCCTTTTCTTTCTTATTCACGGTTGTGCAAGACAGTTCCAAAAAAGAAGGAAAGTAAAGTTGGAGACCTTACGTTGGGCCTAGAGTCAGCAAATCGCGGCGATCGCGATCGTGCAAATCGGCCGGCCACGCCTAAATTCAAAGCCATGTCTTTCGCCAGAATTAATGCATTCTGCTTCATGATATGCATGGAAAACACTGCACATAGGGAAACCCCAAACCTAAAGTTTGGATTACGCAAGGGTTCCTTTTTTTTCTAAATCTCTGTTTTTATTAAACTTGCACACAGTTTATCGGTAGATATATCAATCCCGAACATGCACTGCATTCCTTTAAAAAACTTTTCCCCCACATGATTAAATATTCATATTATATTGGCCTGTTACTTACTTGTGTTGCCATTGTTGTGAATGGTTCTTTCGCACAATTCTTCACAAGCCTAGGAACTCACGCCCGAAATCATTCACCAGAACACAACAGCGTTGGGAGTGCGACGCAAAACAAGGAAGGTCTGGTAAAAAACATGACGTGTCGTATCATGTGTATGATCACATGACGCTGATATAAAGACCACCTGATAACGTCAGGTGACCTACAGCCCAATGGCATTTAATCCCTAGTACCCCGGCCTGTACACCGTAGTGAGGCGGATGATTTGATATTCCTCTGTAAACCCTCATCCGCTCTGATTCTACCTCCATGCTCTGATGCACGTTCCCCTGTCATGGTTGTTTTTATTCCTCCATGGTTAACCCATGGAAGTAAAATAGACTTCCATGCATTTGACCTCACGAAAAAATGTAGGCCATGCTTTATCCCCATGCAAAGTGTAGCTCGGTCAACACGGTCAAGTATATACTTCACACATGGAGGTAGAATTACACATGACCATTTCCTTCCTCCGTGGTGTGACGGAATAGTGACTTAAAGAGTCCCAAGTCACAGTTGTGGAATGTACTTTGACAATCACGAGAGGGGTGACCTTCAGTTAACATTAAACGCGTAAGTTCTACATAATTTCATATGTAATATTTTTCAAAAATACCTACTGTAAGTTAGATACCAACAAATATTCTTACCTTGCAAACATTATATCACAACCGACGACAAACTGGAGGTCAGCATATCAAAAATTTCTCGGAAACAGAAGTATGTATCCCACAATTTGTAACCTCAACCTCATCATTGTGTTGCCTCGCCTCTTGTAATTATACTTTCAAGACCTTCAAGGGTGAATATTAATTTTATTTGGTGAAATAAAATTTGTACAGGTGTCTCTCTTTGTGTCTCTAGGGTGGGAGAATTGGTCACTGTGAGTCACTTTGACAGTCATAATCTCCATTCCCTGGATAGGGAAAGGGGAGGGGACAGTTGATGGGTGCATGCCAGTTAGACTCAAAAGATGAATTTATTTGTAGAAATATCAATACATTGCACAAAGAATAATGAACCTTTGCTTCATGTCTACAAAAAATTTGGTTTTTGTTTTTGACAGCGGAAAAGTTGGCTTACTTTTTTCAGTGCATTACCCTTCATACCCTTCATATATACCAAAGGACATTAACCACAACCTCCTCACAGTTTTCACTTTCAAAATCCCTTCCTCTCAAACTCATAACACCTGCTGATCTTTTTATGTAGGGAGAATTTGAAGCGGTATTATTTTCTTTTGCTTAATGAATTAATGAATTCAGGCAAGCTTCAAAACAGATACAAGAATGGCGTCTATACGACCTGGAAAAGTAAGGGAGTCCCCCCCCAAAAAAAAGAGTGACAGCTGGGTAATTTGACGATTGGTCGTATCATTGGATATCATTTTATCATAACTTACATGTGCAGTTTCATTTGAAATCAGCAGATTTTTAAAATTGGAAGTTCATGGACAATTTATTTCATTTGTACAACAGATTTATGGGCATACATGTAAATGGGATTTCATTTTCATGTTCAGACCTTATCAGGTGACTTGTCGGAGCAATCATAAACTGGTGTTTTTTCTCAATAACACAGTTGAATATTAACAAAGTTGACAACCTTCTGTTTTATGCTCATAGCGATGAAATGAATCCCTCCTCTGCAATGAAGTCCTCCCTGAGTTGGGTTTGCAGACCATGGGCTGCACAGTGTAACTTACAAACCTGCTGTTACATGCAATGATGCCCCAGGAGTGGGGCACCCCTGGGCTGAAGGGTGGGTGGGGATTGGACGATAAATTCTAATGCTACAAAATAAGCAGAACAATTGGCGGAGTAGCATTTCCAATGACACAAAACACATACAAATCCTACAATGCACTGCCAAGGATGGACAATGCATTTTATGCATTTCAATTTAGATGCTAATAAAATGGAATACTTTATTGACAATCACAATTAAAATGGTCTTTATTTAAACATTTACATACAATTTTCATACAATAGTAAGAAATCAATATATTCTAATATTGCAAAATTTATTACTTAATACAGGAGGTCAGCGGATCAGTTGAAATTCTTTCAAAAATATCCATAATTAATAACTTCTTCCCCATTCTGACGTGGCCCTGCTCCTTATGATTCAATTTTCAAGACTTTGGGTTGAAGATTTCAATACTTTTATTTAGTAAAATACAAATTGTTCCAATAAATGTTTAAGGGCAATGGCACCTCCTGGGATGGAGAGTTGGCCACTGTGAGAGTATATAATTTTCTCTACCCCTTGAGTAAGGTATTGACAGTCGACAGGTGCATATCGTTTAATACACTCAAAAGATAAATTTACATGTTCATACAGTTCAAAAATTTTAATGCACTGTACAAGGAAGCACTTATCGTGAACCTTCACATCATGGCTCTTGGAAGCTGAAAAAAAAAACCTGGTTTCATTTTCCCTTCATATGATTACAGAATGATTGGCTTTCTTTTTCCATAGCATCAATTGATGCTCCCATCAATACTAAAGGAAGTTATAACCTCTGCTTGATGTTTAAACAAACAGCCCGGCAGGTTTCACATTCATGTGATTTCCTTTCAAATTCAAAACACCAGCTGATCTTTTCAGCACCGAGTATGGAGAATTTGACTTTATTAGAGGCAGGATTCTTTTGTTCAGGACGCACTTTGTCTGAATTAAAAACTGACAGGATCCCAACACTGAGAGAATTTAAACATTGTTTTTCCCACCAACATTAAAAAGGAATATATACAATCAAATTTACACAGATCAGTCTTTAAAATGTTTTTGACATTGCCAAACAATTCTTTGGATCTTTTATAATCATACAAATGATAGAAAATCAGCAAAGATAGAAATAGGTTTTGGTTGTCATAAAACAAAATAGCATTTTAATTAAAAAAATTATTATGAACTTGCACATCCATAACAATAAGAAAAATGTACTCAAACTATTAGTTTATGAAATTACAATATTCATGTATACCTAAAACACTTTAGCCATTCTTACTGGTCAAGAGCCCGTCCCGTGGCCTGCCTTAAATGAGTGATGAAGCACCAGCTGGCTAATTGTGTTCTGTGCCACCTACATATAATGCAGTACATGCCACGCGCACAGGAGGTTGAAATAATCATCTGCAACAGGCACGTACCATTACATGGCCAGGGGGGTGTTTCAAAGAACTGAAGAAAAACTTTGGAACCAAATTGTTGGAAATGTGACATATTTAAACTTCCTTTGACTTTCTGACTCAAAAGGTATTTTGGCAGGGGAATAAAAATGTGCTTGATCGGTCTTAAACTAGCGTTAAGAACGGTTCAGGAGAGTGGACGCTTATAATGTCTTCATCTGTGGCTTGAGCATTAGTCGGGTCCATTCTCTAGAGCCAGTTCCATCCAAGAACATATTTATTCTCTAAACAGAGCAAGGTCAATTCAGGCAAACATTTGGTAAAATTTTCCTCTTTTTTTGCAGCATTCTTCTGTTTGGCTGTTTTCAATACTAATCCAGTGCTCAACAAGCCAAACAAAAATCATAAACTGTAACAAAAAAGGCTACTGATTGAAAGGTTTGTCCAAAAAAACAAATCTGTCCGAAGGCTCCAATGGAAATTTGTGCATGTATAGAGTATATGGTGTGTTGTTATAATGAGGAGTTTCTTGAGGTTTCTTTGAGGCCAGAATTTTTGTATCTGTTGGATTATGAACACAGCATGAAATCTGGCTGGGCAGAGGGTGGGAAAATCCCGATTTTTAATTCTTTTTTAACTCCTTTTCACATGCATGTACAACTAACTTATCCAGAGTTAGAAGAGAATAAAACTGTCGAGGAAACAGTAATGTTGATTTTTTCAGTTCTTTTTTTTTAAATTGCATTATTCCAAGTTGGCGGGTTCGTCATCCAACTGATATAAAGATGTCGGCCTTACCCTTTACGAGCAGCCAATTGATCTCTTCTGACTGTGAACTGCAATTCTTTACCATGGGTAACATGGTTGGGGGCACTGACGGATGTAGGTCTCCAGATAGCCTGAGTTGACTTGCATCATGGCCGTGTAGGTCGTCAACTAGGGAACAAAGGTTCAAGAATTAACCTTGGCTGGCTCTCGAAATTGACAAAGAGAGAACAGCCTTGGTAGAATCAACAGTCACAAACGAGTCCTCAGCCATCGAACCGTATTGAGCGTGGGATCTAACCGAACCTTTCCCATTTTCCAATAACGAACCAATTATCAATCATTCTAACTCCAAAACTCCCAAGCCACTTCCAAATGCAAAAAAAAATCACAGTATTCTGTATCAATAAGACTTTGACAACAACCAAACCAGGCCCAACTAAACCAACAAATGTCCAGAGAAAAAGTTGGCTTACCAGGTTAAGATTGGGCTTTGTAGAGAGAACGTTGTATATAGGCCCCAGTCCAACAGCCTGAAAGGAAATCAGACGAAAATGGCATTAACCTATACGTTACTTAAAAGGGTCTGTGCAAGAAATTTTTACAATTCTTTAAAATGCACCTTTCATTTTTCAACTGAACCAATTTCCAATTCTTGTTTGACTGTTTGAAAAGTTATTTCAGTGCTATTTTGGTTTTATGCTAATGAGAATTTCCATATTTATGGCAAAACTGCAGTGTCATTCCAAGTAGTAAAATTTGCCATATGCTAGTACACCAAACACAATTCCTGCCAATTACTTTCTTTTTAAGGGTTTGATTTTAAAAGCTAAATTGCAGACATAATCTTAACAAAGTGGGCAGATATGTAATAAAAGCATCACTGTTGTTCTGATAACTTGGGATTGTTTAGAGAGGACATGCTCCTTCAAGCATTTCAAAATTACCACATACACTACTTCTGGAGACTGGCTACTTCACTTTTTAGTCGGTAGGAGGTTTAAACAAAGAAGTTGACTGGGGCAAGCTATGCACCCACAACCTCCAGAGTGTCACAGAATTTCAGACGAAAGTTTCTCCAGTACCTTCTGAGTGGTGTTAGTCATGCACTTGAGGGCTGGCGTGCGCCTGTCGTCAAAGAAGGGCGGCTTCTCCGTGGGGTCGTAATTGGTCTCAACCAGGAACCACTTGCCTTTCTTAGGGTCCAGCCTGGCCACGAAAAAAGATCACAGTATTGCTCAGTATATCTTGGGTACAGATGAGGATCAATTTAACATGGCATTCGATCATGAATCAAGATCAAGAAACTGTGGATGATGGAGCGAATGCTCGATAAACTCTCTAGTACTTAGGTTGACCAAACTACAAAATGTAAAGCAGTTGTTAAAGTGAAAAGCCTGCTCATTATAGCAAGATTGAACATCTCCTTGACACAAAGTACATCTTTGAAAAGAGTTTGCAGCATCCGCTGCTAAGTTGGACTCAGACTGGCTAGCTGACCACGGCATGCTAAGTGATCGAAATGGTTATGACGTGACTTGTAAGCAGGAGGTCGCGGGTTCGAGTTCCACCCAAGTGCACTTGTGAATTTGTTTCACAAGCTCTCGGATAACAGTGAGTCAGGGCCAAAGCAATAACTAAAAAAAATAACATCACCCACTGCGAAGTACATTTTTTAAAAAAAGATCTGACAGGTCAACCGCTACCGAGGTCACATGCCTTGGGTCGTGTCCGAAACGGGCTTCCAGAGCTACGGCTAGGTCAACTGTCTGTGCGTCTCTGCATATTTTAAACGGAGTGAAGACCTAGACCTAGCTCTAGATAATAGATTCGGATGCAGCCTTAGCGTCCCAGCCTGCCAGCTGTCACAAGATTTAGGGGAACAATATTTAAGCAGACTAGCTTCTGTTGTCTAGAACTGCCAGTTACGCTTCTGTTATCTTATTCAATACAACATGGTCGCAACATGTTTTTTACACTTGTTGCACTTTGCTGCATTGAGCACAATGAGGTCAAGGTTGAACGTACTCTTCAACATATGCTGGCTCCTTTCTGTCAATGACGATGACAGCGCCCTCGCCTGTTTTGCTGCCGCCCAGTATGATGTAGCCTGGAGCCAAGATCTTGGCATTGATAACCTTGGCTTTCGTGCTCGCGTAACTGAAAAATAAATAAATAAATGAATAGTCTATTGCACCGAAAACACGAAAAAAATTCTTTCTTGCCGAGCTTGGTAGGGAAGAGAGAATCACTACCCAGTGTTCAATGCATAACAGCATGCGGACCAGTAACATTAAACTTCCACAAGTCCTCTTTATTGTATATTTAGCAGGCAAAGCCGATAGAATTCTAATAATTAATGTTTGGTTCATTCAACCAGAAAAGGTGATAAAGGCTGTATAAAGTAACACGAAACAAAGCTAGACAAAATATGTTTATTCAGATACGTACACAAGGTGATCAGGTGATATCAAATTCTTGCAGATGACGTCACCCAAATATGAACTCTATACTTCAGTTGTGTCTCAGCTCATCAGATATGGCAGATAGAAGTCGTTTATTTTTTATATAATCTACATTTCAATCGTTTGTGATTTTAGAACTTGATGAGGTCATCATGACATCACTTTTGTATGTGCAGCTAGGGATATGGGTTGCTGTTGGTGTCAAGTTTCAAATTATTTTGATATACCACCTCAGAGAAAAGCCACAAAGAATTATCCTCCAGTAAAAGGGGAGGAGAAAGAGGACCTCGACAAATCCAACAGGGGACGTGGGCTGGCGGTGCCGACCACCTAAACACCCCCCCTTTCAACAAAAGAGACAAACTTACTCAGTGGCATTCAACAGCGTCTCTCTCATGAAGAATCCCATCCACTGCTCCGATCTTTTCCCCATGATCCACTCCAGGATTCCAATGTACCCGCCGTCGATATTGTAGCGCTCGTTCATGGTCATGGTAACCACGCCCTTGTGGGAAGAACACAATTCAATCCAATTCACACAAGGACAATTTCAAGTGACAGCTAAATGTTAACTATGGTTCGAAGACACCCCCCCCCCAAGGATGGATGGTTTGGACCATCTAGTTAACCATCTAGAATCAGGCCGTGGGGCATGGTCACACGGCCGATTATCAATATCTGATTTCATTTGTAAAGGAAGGAACCAATCACATGAAATTCATTGTATGTCACTGACTGTGAATGGTTTCAGAGTTGCAACCAACAGCAAAATATTAGTAACAATAAGATCATAGCAAAATTTAGATTAGGGACATCCAAAAGCGCTTGTATTGGGTGTTACAAAGCAATTGACTAGTGGTCGAACTATAGGCCTTGAGCTGGACCAAGAGAGGGTGCTATTTCCTTAGCAACGGAGGCTTCTTTGGTACTAACTACACATCACTGGTTCACGAATGACTAGGAAACCCAAGTGTTGCTGTCACATCGCTACCAACAAAATGAATACTCCCAACCAACACGGCTCTTTTCAACCAATGAGGGGGTGCTTCTGCTCGAGGCGGATAGGTCAGACTCAAACCCTGTTATAATATGCCAATGTACAATGTCAAATGCCTATACACATGCAGGGCATGATCAAATCGAGCAATCATCTCTCTAATTGACACTTCTGGAAAACCGAGTTGAAACAGGCTAAAAGCTGGAACCAATGCTCACAAAATTTGCCTTTTTTTTCAAACAAACTAAAAAAAAAAAGCCCACATAGTGCAATAAGTCCACTTGAAGCTGTTCCTGTTTTTAAGGATCCAACTTCAGGTAATACTTCACTTGTTTTAATCCAAATGTTAACCCAAACAGTGATGGTCCCTCTGGACAGCAGTCCAATAGTGAAATGCAAATAAAAATAAAACAATCTCTCATGTTACAATTTCTTTAACAGCATGAAATCATCCAGCTAGCACATCTTGATATCCCCCGATATAACTCGCACACACACACACACCTGTTATACGTACTAAGTGTGGACATTCCTTTGTTCTCCTGTGGTTAAGGAAACTTGAGGAAACTGCTCCTTTCTGTAACTAGGATAACTCCTTCGAGCTGGATTTTTGATGAAGATTTCCTGGACCGGTCCTCTTCATTTTGCCACAGATAACCCTGACCCCAAAATGCCTCTGAAACTGTTTTTCAGAGGGGAAGAAATTGTGTGAGTCCACACAACGCCACCATACCCTACATTATGTGGACTTCTTTTGTACAGAGGTCAACACTACTTTTTCAATGCCTGCACACCAACAGGCGTTGCTATCTGATGGTTGAAGACTTGAAAGCTTTCAGAGGGACAAGGTTAGGATGGCTCAAGCAAAAAAAACCTGCAATTATTACACTTTTATCTTGTCTAGAGTATGTTTTGTCCTTACCGGTTTAATTCCAGTGAGGACTCCGACGTAGCCAGCAAAGTGAACTGCCTTGGCGACCGTCTTTCCCTGCACTTGGTAATCCACGTTCACAACAAGCGGCCTCAGCCTCTCCGTCAGCTCCCACTTTTGATTCTTGACGTCCCACCTACAAATGGACGGATTGTAATGTTGCTACGTCAACAGAGTGTGCTGAACTCAGCAAAGGTTGGTGAGGCCAGACTTAACTTATGGATAGTTTTTCTCCCTCCGATGACAAAGTGACGAGCGCATGAGGTCAAACTTTTGCTGCAACTCGAGCGAGACTAAATTAAATGACACTGGGAAAAAGTAGCGGGCCATTCGAAGAATGGGGAATGTGTCCTAACAATCTAGGACATATTTATGTGATGGGCTCATTTTACCATGTTTGGTTTCTCACGCATATACAAGTATCCTGAAAAACAAAGCGAATGCCTAAATGCTTTTCTTCGGGTTGCTACAGGTAACTTTCACTTCAGTAAAGTTCACTGCAGAACTTGGACAGACACTTGATCCACATAAAACGCTCGCTGAGAATATTACTGCCCGTGGCAACTCACCCGAGAAAGAGTCCGAAATCAAGGTTTCTAGCATGGTACAGGGTTCCTGCGGGAGAAAGAATAAAAGAAAAATGAAGAAAATTCCAACCTCCAAAGGGTGCAGAGATGGGTGGAATATGAGAGCAGGTAATTTATCTTTCATTTCTTCTCAAGACAATGGCAGAAATTTCCTTACCGTTGGGACTTTCAGCCACAATTGAGGTGCACACTGTGAATACCTCGTAGAAGATGTTGTAAAGGACAATCTGACCTGGGAAAAAAAAGGAAAACCAAAATGCTGACTCAAACTTATCAAACGAAAATGGAAATCAAAACAGTTTGGCGCACTGTCTGGTTCAGAAACCAACCCATTGTACAATACAACTTAAAAGACTCTGGTTCCTGGAGGAAAATATTAAAGATCAAAGTTGTCATTAAATTTTACCTAAAGGAACACCAGATGCATCCGCAATGCCTATTAACTCAGCCTGATAGGGCTGTGGTAGGGTGTATGCCAGAGGACCCTGAGAAGAGAAAAACAGAGAGTGAACATCTCTGCCGGTACTGGTGAATATTACATTACCATCTCCTGAATGGAGTGTTGTAATCAAGTGTATAAGAAGTCCCCGCAAGTCCCTGTAAGTCCATCATGAGTCATTCAGTCTTAAGGCCAAACAAAATCATAGCTGTGCTTCTGGTTACCCCCCCCCCAGCTGTGAAGCTTATAGATGTGAATGGATAAATGACACATGGGAACCAGTGGGAAATGTTGACTTCACTTCTTTTATTTTGCTCAAAATTGTGACATTTCCTGCGAGGCATGTGGCCATTTTAGACTGGGTGCATGAATGTGAGAAGAAATCTAGGTATGATGTTTTATTGGGCCCACAAACTGTACACAAAAACAGTGGTTCAAGTGCATATAACACTGAGTACGCAAAACTAATTTTCATGTTGATGTGTACAAAGCTGATGGCTCTTCTTGTGGGATCACTATCACTGACATTCAAGGATGAACCTGATCTGTGTCTCTAACAGCATTCAGAGAGTTCTGCGCAGTACAAACAAGGCAATTTGAACTAGTTTCCTCTTGGACAAGAGTACACATTGCAGACAGGTGAATAAGTCGCAGGGCTTCTGAGATGATGGTTTTTTATTGCTTTAGAAGAGCTTGTACATGCTCCTCCCGGCAATAGATCTCTCTCTTCTTCGCAAACACTGAAAACAATTTCCCAAGTCTAAGGAGGGAACCTTTACTCCATTTTTGGACGTGTACGTTGACTTTCAGTGGTTTTGATATGCTGTGAATTACTTCTTAGTTCTTTTTTGACAGACAGACAATCATAATTAGCCAACTGTCAGCTGGCGGAAAATGTGGCAGAGATGTAGCGAATTAAAGATCTACATTGTGCATTTTTCCATTGTCTTTCATGTGGTGTCCTTCAAACTGGTGTGTTTAAACTGTACATGGGACAGGAATTTTACAATCTTACCAAGACTTCATCCAGTAGGTTAACAACTTTGGTTTTGTTCTTGAAGAAGGCACCCACCAGATCGATGATGTCATTGATCATGGCTTTCAACTGAAATAAGAAAAACAATCAAGATATAAAGCCAGTCTAAAATTTCCTGAAACTGTTCTTCCGCCTGACAGAGGAGCTGCCAAGGGCCAACGACTTTTTAAGAAATGAAGTAAAACATTCAGTGCAACCGCTGCAGCCTGAAATGCTAGCAGGTTAAGGGCCTGGCACTTTGATCAAAGCAGAGTCTTTTAGCTGGGACTGAAATGCCGGGTCTGAAAAGATAAGAAAAATATCAGGCCGCATATCACAAAGTTCACAGCCATTCAAAATGAAAGAAAAAACAATTTTCTCTTTGATTTCTCACAGAATAAACACAACAACGGCATTGCATTTCAATGGACATTTCCAGCTTCTAAAACAAAGGCATCTACATGTATTCAGGGCACAATATGCAACAATAAATCCAACTCACAGAAACAGTTCCGCTAATTCTGTCCATACACTTGAGTGGAAAATTGTAAGTGCTAATTGCTTCCAACAACCCAGCCTTTCACCATTAACCCTGCTACTGCTCTGCTGCCTGCTAGGCCACTCCCTTGATTAACCCATCTAGCCGGAAGCCAGACCTCACCAACATAACGAACAATGGACAAAAACCAGCTTTTCATTATAAAGTTTGAACCTCTTCGAATGGCTTTTATCATCAGAAAAGGGACATTTTTGTACAAACGGAGCAACATGAGGCCTAGTCTAGTAATCTGTGGGTCAGGAGTTCGAATCCACCTGTTGGCCCTACTAGTAGGTTGTGGCCTTGCACAAGTCACTTGATGCTTGCTTGCCTCTCAGTACTAAGTATGATTACTTCAGCTGGGCGCAACCTGCACTTGCATCAGATGGACAGCCTAAGAAAGAAAAACTTTATCTGGTTCAGTTCGATGGATTTTAAATAGATGCAAGATCTGTTAAAGGCCCATGCTCAATAGCCACGTTGTGACCTTGCCATAGTGCAATCATTTCAAGAGCACTTTAAGTGTTTTTTTTTCTGATAAAGGCACTCCATAAATACATGAAGTATTCATCGCTATCTGACATTTCTGTTTGAGTTATTATGGGTGAGCCGACTATCTGATGTTGTTCACCTCGGCGCTCTTGTTTTTCATGAGCGGCCGCCATCGATCCTCTGGGTTCATGTCAAGGTTCAGGACGAATGACGGCACTTTGGTCTTGGCATCTGCAGGCGGGTACTGCACATCTGTCCTGCACACTTTATCTGTGTACTGTCGCGGGAAAAAAAAAAAAAATACACTTTTCAGATAAAAAAAAGTAAAATAAAAAGTCAAGTAAAACATGCATATGATCATCGAAGGAACATCAGTGAAATCAAATTTAGATTGTGTGAGAGATGTAAAGTTTGTATCAAGTTTTGACCTTATACCAACGTATTATACCTTTACACTGTATGGTCAGTGTGGACCAAGAGTTGCAAAACTCACCAACTTGTTTGGGTGGGATTTGAACCCATGACTTTCTGCTTAATTGTGCAAACATCTTAACCACTCGACAAACAAGTTTACCGGGGGCCGGTGGCTGGCTCGAATCCAATGCAACAGTAGGTAAAGTGATTCGTCAATGATATGTATAATATTAACTTCACGATAGGACTACACCGTGTGAATGTGTGTTCAGCCCAGTATCAGTCGATATGCATGTTTAGTCGATCACTGCATGATCAGTCACGTGAACTGAACGATTTGCCGATAATTATGCCATCGATCAATTGCCCTTTCTAATTTATGTTTGTGAAAAACTGCTTCACAAAAACAACATAAAGTTGGAGATTTCATGCACAGTTAACACAAGATTTTGCTTAGAACAAGGAATTTTTTAGGATCCAATCCTTTGTTTTTGTTCCTGATAATACAAGGTCCCTGTTATAACAAGGTAATTTGCCAAGTCTGAAGGACCTCTTATTAACAAGGTTCGACTGAACAATAGAGGGCCTGCGTGGAACACACTCCTAAAGGACATGTTTTGTTATTTTGATTTAATGACAATGAATGTACAAAACGTTTACTTAGATCTATCCCAGAGGGAGAAAGAAATGCCCTCTAACGTGATGTCATACGCAGGGGGTCTGAAGGGTAATCAAGTGTCATGTAAGCATTAACAAGAGGTGTCCTAAAAATGAAAGTAAAGATTGCCAAGTTTAGGGAGATTGTTTTTAAAACGAAAGGGGGTTCCTTAAACTTAAAGGGCCCACAGCTTTGCAGTTTAAGTATCTAGGAGTAGGTTAACTCTACAAATTGCCTATTTTAACATTTGGGCTATCGCTGATCATGTCTAAATGTTAAAAGATGCAATTAGTAGAGCCGTTTTTACTTGAATTAGGCTTGGCCTACATGTAGGCCTAGGCCTACGTGTACATGATGTAGTATGTACTTCAATTGCCACAGGCATGAGGTTCAGCTCATGATTAATTAATTTACTCACAGGATAAACATCTTGGCCAAGCGAAGGAGCAAACACCATCACCAAGACAGCTAGCGGGGCCAACACCCTCACCAACATGGTTGGACGTTTAATATTGCGTCTCTTTGGAGAAATTTCAACCACAGTGTCACAAACCACCCGTAAACCCAGTTCACTTCTGCGGTTACAATACGAGTTCGCAGCGCCCGGCCACCAGCACTCCCGCAGCATAGTACAGTGACATTCTGTCATGTGAGTGCTGAAGGACAAGACTTGTATAAGTCGGGCGTTAGAATAATTTTCACTCATAAATTTGTATAAGTCCGGCGTTTGAATAATTTCCACACAAAGGAACTTAGATTAAATAGGTAGTATCAGAAAAAAAAATGTCAAACGTTATAGCTCGTCACAAACCGACACATGGTACAAATTTGCCAAACTGTTCTGATCATTGATCTTCATTCGTACAATCCAACTTCTGAGTCATCACACTATTGGTTGATTTGGGATTGTTTTTAAATTTCTGTTGCATTCACACCTGTTTTTGAATAAGGGACAATGTCTGCATTGATTGTGTGATTATCTCTCTCTTTTCAGAAGTTTTTTTCACTGGCCCAGAATGATCACATGGCAGCAGGATAACGTATTATGGTCACACTGAACATTGGACATGACATTGTCCGGCCTACACGTGCCCTCCCAGTGTATGTACTGGATGATTAGCAGAGGGCGCTATGCGTCTCTCAGGGATTTATGCAGGCATTGTATGTCTAATTCCCCATCATAATAGCAATTAACAATTGTTTTCTCATATCTCTGTCTTGATGTTTTTCATTCGTTTTTCTAGGGGAAATACTTAATACTATAACTGACACATACACATGTAATTATAATTTACGAATCGTGTAACTGCAAATCAAGTTACAAATTATGCACCAAAACTTTCCAGGGGAAACTGACTGCTTTTTGACTTTTAAGGTCATTCTTGGCATATTCTTGTGAAATCAGACAGAACAAGCCATACTGGCAGGAACTACATGTATGACAAAAATCAAACACAATAAGAACAGAAACAATAGACCAAACAAAAACAAAATATGAATAAAAACAACGCATCATTGGCAACCGTTCATTTATTCCAATGTCATAGTTGATTCCAATTCACAATCTATGTCATATACTGAATATAATTCTTGAAGGGTAAATATGATGATCAACCCTTTCCCTGATAAAAAAAGGCTGATTAAATGAGGCTTTACCCACAGATCACATTGCAAGACAACTGATGCCTTATTAAGCGATGAAAAAAAAAGGAAAATGAGATTACTTCTTCCTCAGAGTCCAGCAAGAGGTCACATATGATATTACAAGCACACATCGCATTGTGAGTAATGTCACCTAGAGGCACTTCTTGTGGTTAAAATAATGGAACTGGGGGCTTGGACAGGAAAGCTTAGGAGTGGGCTTTTTGCTGAAAAGACTTTATATTACTAGGAACTTGAAACAACTGCAAAATATCGCATCTCCAATTACTGATGACAGTTGCAGAGATCTTTTAATTTAAAAACACATGCAATATTATATCAAAGTGTATGCAATGTGGACCGTTCAAAACTTTTCAACTGGTTGATCAAGCTTGAGGTCCTCCAAGATATAGAAAAAAGAAAACAATCAGGTGCATTACCAAGTTGTAGCTCCTCCCATGAGGACCTGCCCCTTTCAGTCAAGATTCCCCAACGTCTCCTGCAGGTTGATTGTCCTTGGAAAAAGCCTTATCAAAGCATGTTCAAGCAGAGCAAACTGTGGGGAAAATCTGCCACTTCATGGCCAAGATCTGATGAAAGTCGCTTTGTGAGAAGGTTAAAAACCGTCAGCATACCTTCAAATTGTAATTATGTACACTGTACATATATATTGTATAATGCAAAAAAAAAAAAACGAAACAATTTTATATCCGAATTACAAACTAACTAAATGTGGTTTGTGCTACGTTAATCCTGCAAAAAAGTTCTCGTGTTTCCCTTTGGCGTCAAAGTGCCTGAATTTATTCTTGCGCTCGGCTTTGGCGTGGGGGTCCACCTCCTTCGCCAGGAGGTGTGCCACGTTCCAGAACTTGATCTTCTGGTCGTGGGAGCAGCTGGCCAGGATCTGCTTGTCCGCCGAGAGGGCCAGGGACTCGATGGGGAAGTCATCGTGGTCACCGATGACACCCAGGAACCGGTTGGGTAGGATGTTGACAGCCCTGGCAGAGCAAAGACAAGAGTAGCTTTCAATCTGAAGTACACGAGTTACTTTTTTTTCCTCTGAACAATTTTGAGTCTCTTAACCATATGCTGCCAAGGAGCCCGAATTTTGGGTACCTGTTCTTTATACACACAGTTGGGGAGCCCGAAATCGGACAAACAAGCTGGCCTTGTAACAAAAGACTGTACTTGGAACAAAAGACCTAGCTGCTGGGAATTGCCAACATTTTTTCAGTTGTCATTAGGGGAGGAAATCCGTCCACCACTGTTTGTGGCATTCAGCATGAGCAGATTACCACTCGGGACAAAAGCGCTCCAGCACTCCAGTGATGAGCGATACAATACCGCTGCACGCTAATCTGGCCCCTATTGAAAAGGCGCACTGTGCCAGTTTCGGGCACAACTCAAAATTACATAACACCGCACCCTCTGGGCTCTCATTACAAGGCGGCACGCCTGGCTGAAATACTCCAGCGTCAATAGATGTTGTCTGTCAGATAAGAGTAGAAACCAGACAGTCGTTTGTGTGGGTGTAAACGTCCAGTTAATGAAGCTATGATTTTTGGAAGAATTTTGAAAATTGAAAATCTTGAAGATCACCCGGTCCTATGTTGGGCAACTTCAAATTACACCCGGCAGCAAGTAGTTAAACATGTAGTGAACAAACTTGACTTCCATCTGTGAGGCCTGAAGTGTTTTTGACATCAACTGTGCCAGCTCCAGAAACCAGGAGGGATGTTACATATAAGGTGTATTAGGACATTTAACAGTTGTTGACCGCTGTGATGTGGGATATGCCCTTTTTAATACCTGAGAGATGCATATCCCATGTAACAACAGATAGCAAGTTTTGTTATACAGTGCCAATAAGTCAAAACAATACATAGTTATAACTTACTGCACATGAAATACACTAAGCTACTGCAATGAAAGCTTTGATGATTGCAGTCTTTTCTGCTGGTAAAAGGGGAAACGGAGCCTATACCAAACGTGCGCTCTAGAGCCCCGGCTCATTTTTCTTCTACCTTATCATTCCATCCATGCTTCCAGTGCAGACCATGCTGTCGGTCAGTGCGACACAGGTGTCCACTGACTGGGGGTGTCCCGGGAAGCGGTCGCTCAGATCGCCAAACTCGTTCCAGTTGTAGATGTTGAGGGCGCCGTCGCTCGCGCCGCAGACGATTTTCTTGCCATCCTGAAAGGGAAATATTTAACAATTTTGGGAAGGAATGGTGCCAAAGAACTTCTCTATTTGACAGTGACTCTTCCAATGTGGAAAAGAAGAACGTTCATATCTAGGCATAATATTTGGAACAAACTCTCTAACCATAAAAAATTACATTGAAATTATGCCAAAAAAGAAAAGAAAGAAGAAACATGAAGAAACAAGAAAAGGAAAAATTTTATGGAGACCTTGCTGGTTATAGTTTTGATGAGGACGAATGTCTAACACAATACATTTTTGACACAATATGTTGAACACATATTTAAGACTCAACAAAACACAAAGTTAGGTTTTCGAGAGAAAACGTGAAACCTGTAGCTAAGCCAGATTTTTTCCACCTCATCCAAGACGCAATTTTGAAGGCAGCACATACCTTGACTATTGCGACGGTCATCATTTCATTCTGGACGTTCTCTGACTGCATCACAAACTTCCTTCGTCGGATGTTGAAGGTTGACATTGTACCATCGCCACTGAAAAAAAGAAGAAAAAGAGCAAAAGAAATCAAAGCGGAGCCAAAAAAAAAAAAAAACCTCAGCCCTCAGGAAAGAACACAAACTAATCGAATAAGCATAATTACAGGCCAGTACTAACGTGATGTCAGGATCATACACGGGTTGTACGCTGTATTGTTAATTTATTACAACCAATCAGGTGTCTATAATGGGGTGTGCTCTATGACGTCACAGTCGTGTTTTTCCTATAAGTGGCTGCCAAAAGTATGGCTGGCTGGCTGTCGGTGCAAAATTAAAGAATGATTCACGAAGTGTTAAAAATTCCACACAGCTATCTGACCTCAAGCCAATGATACATGTACTACTAAACGTTAATTGGAAATACAACCCTATTTACAAATCAATGGTACAATTGTCCAGTTTGAATAAATTGGAGGTAAAAATCGAAAACCAACCAAAGGGGATATTTCTGCAAACTTTGGCTGCCCATACAAGTTGTAGGCAAAACGAGAGTGGTCTACCACCTCAACACTGGTGTCATTTGATTAGCACACAAAGGTCTCATGATATTTCTTAACCCTTTCAGTACGTATCACTGCAGCTATATGACCAATCTCAGCAAGTTGGTCCCAAATAATCGTTTGGATTAATTAACTGTCACTGATTTTCATACATAATCCGGTCAGTCAAATTACATTTTACTATGCAGTTCTTCGAGGAGAAATCATCTCTTGCAAACCAAACAAATTGGTAAACTTCCTCTGTTTAGTTAACCAGTTTATGTCGGATTTTCTTTACCCCTCAAAAACCTGCTGGGGGCAGGTTTTTTACCCGCCAATTCTGCAACCTTGCAATTGCGCTTTGAGCCCACCAAGCATGACATGACACGTCAATACATCAACCGCAGAAATGAAAAAAAGAATTCTTAAATGAGTGTACGGCAGTGTTGTGGTGGAGAGCATCG